GACCCTCCGTTCCCCAGATTTCACACCGCCGCCACATGGCACCTGACATCGGGTGCCATAGCTCAAATCAGCCTGACTCCGCGACTCCAGAAGACCGCGATGCCGCCCCGGCTGTGGACCCGGCTCCCTCAGAAAGGACACGCGGGCGACAAGCATCGTAGATAAAACGGCTAACCTCAGCCTTCAAGGAGCTTACCATCAGTTCCCCAACTGACCTCACGCTGTCCTTCCAAATTACCCTTCTGGAAGCCAGCCCTGGCCTCCATCACAGCATCTCAGAACGGTCTCTCATCTCCAACTAGCACAACCGGATTGCTCCGTGAGGGCCAAAAATGGAAACATCCTTACCATACTTCATCCAAACACACTAGCAAGCAAACCACAAAAAGGGGTTGTAAATTAAAAATTCAATAGAAAAGGCTTTTATTTTTTTCTTTCATTCATTCAGTGAATTTTAGCCGAATGCTCGCTGTGTGCCAGGCGCCCTGCTAGGTGCTGGGGACGCCCGGCGGGAGGCGGGACAGACACGGCACCTCTCCTCAGGGACGTGAGAGAGGGCAGAGCCCCTAAAGGAAGAGGCTCGATCTAAAACAACCCCAGCCCGTTCGCTCCAAGAGGCAGACATGTGAGGAGCACCTTCAAGGATGGATCTGAGACAGATGTTCCGGCCAATTAGCTATGTGCTGGCAGGAACAGCCAGCGCACAGGATGGAGGGAAAGCCTTCAGACTCGCCAGCTGAATGTTCTCGGGACAGAAAGCAGCTCTTTCTCTAATAAAAATGAAAAATGAAACAGGTGAAAACCTAAAATGTGGCGGCCACACCTTCCTCGGGACCCCTTTCCCAACACACACCCCCATCCCCATCCCGACGAAAGTGACCCTTCAGGGTCTCATCCACTTCCCACGTCACCTGGGAAAGAAAGGCTGTGACCTTAGCCAGCTTTTCAGGCAAACGCACAAGCAGCCTCTGCCACAAACGAACAAAAAAAGTCAAAGTTGGGAAGAAGAGCCTGGTGACAGGACGCCAGGGACCTTCAGGGAGGGCTCCCCGGAAGAAGTGCAGTATAACCCGCATAACCGGCCACATAACATCCACGTGGACCATCTTCCGGCAAGGACAGCGTGGATGCCAATTACTCTATGCCCTTGTCAAGAGAACCTGTTACCCCTCTACAGGACAATTATCTAAAGGTGCACGATAGTTAAAAGCTGAAGTCTTTCCCCAATTCAGCACGGAGAAAGTGCTGCTCACAGCAATTTGCCATCATTTCATTAGATGAGATTAATTTTTAAATGTGTTATCCTAACAATTATGCCAACTACCAAGTAATTAATATTCCAACATTCTTTACAAAAATCACAAAATCCCCTAGAGAAAGTAATTAGTCACTAAGCATGAACGAGATTTCTCTCTGGCCAACAGCACATAAAACAAAGTTCACCACATGATGGGTGGTATCAAAGACCTTGCTTCAATCCTCGGCCAGCCAGGGGTGCGTAAAGCTGACACTGGCAAGTTACCCCAAACGTCACTTAACGTATTAACGCACTCACTGGTTTAAACGCTTTGAGGGTGAAATGATGAATGAGGTTGGCTTTAGCAATTAAAAAGCTCTTTTTCATTTGTAGGAGAGGCAAAATAAACACATATAATTGCTTGCTGCTTCCATATCCCCAGCTGGAAATTAGAATACTGGCTTATTTCTTGGGGCTACTTCTTGAGTTTATTAAAGAAATGTACATAAGGCATCCTCACCGTTGTTTCTCTCGTTCCTTTCAAGGCTTTACGTATTCTCGTAATCTACCCTAAATCCTTTCTAGAGCAAGGGAAGGTATAAATAAGTCATAGTCAAACAGGACATTATCTATCATAGTGGAAATAAAAAAGCTGTTTTCCCTGCAGCCCACCTTTGAAGGACTGGCGGGGGCCGCTGAGCCCCAGGACAGAGCTGTGAGCCTCTGCGTGACCTCAGCACGAAGGACTGCAGAGGGGGGTCGGTGATATCTGCCCTGGACGGGAGCAGTAGTTTGGGGACCCACGTACCATGTATTTGTCATCCCCATCTTTCAATAAACCACTGGAAATTAGCGAAACGCGTACAGATTCATGAATAAAAGATAATGTAGGAACTGCTTCTAGGATGAATGTTGAAGGGGAAAAATGTTTTCTAACGTCGAACACCTTACACCAAAATGGATTAAAGCATCAAGTTTGGAGGAGAGAAGGCTGACCTGAGTCGGGAAACGCAAGGGATACTGGTCCAGCTGTGAAGCAGGTCAGTATCCCTTGGTTTGCTCAGCTATAAAATAAGCATAAACTAAACATCTCTTACTCATACTCTTGTTTCTACTAATCACTGGTACGAGCAGCCCCAAGCACCCCCCTCTGCTGGGGCACTAGGGAGCCGATGAAAGAGCCGAAGGAAGAACTCTACAAAGGCCCGCCAGGCCCGGAACAGGGCTAAAGCCCCTCCGCCCCTCCCACTGCTCGTATGGGGTTTACAATCTATTTTCATCTGTAGCATCTCCAGGACAAGAAGTTCCATAAGTACCTAATACAACCTCTTCTCCGCCTTGGAGCAAGGGGAAGGGGCAGGGCCAGGGACGTTTATATTTTAAGATACTATTAAACTCGGCCAACAGTTAAACTACCTTCATTCAAAAGTTAAGCGCCATCGCTTCCGTTTGAAACCAGTCACTTCCCCTGGAGTCCCAGCCACTCGCTGCTCTGCGGGCAGCCCAAGTCTTCCCACCGCCGCTAAGTCTCCACAGCTGTGGCCTATTCCAAAAATTACCCACGTGATACGCCAACACAGCTTCCGTGTCCAAACACCAAAAAGCAAGACCTTCTACCAGGAGTCGAACCGGAAGGAAGTCACACAGGCACCTACTGATCAGATCCCACCCAGTCCCAAGGTAAACTCACGTAGGGATGACCTGCGGGGCCCCGGGGGAAACAAGGACGGGCTGGCAGGGCAGTGCCACCTGCGTAGGGCTGGAACCCTCGCGCCTGGCTGCGGCAAGGAAATAACTTTTATCTGCCCCGCACCCCCTCCTTTTTGGAACTGCCTCTCCAGCTCCAAGGAGCCCCACTTCCCGTGCTCCAGGTGATCTGTAACAGCCCATCAGGGGATCACACCCCTGGATCAGGGCCTGTGCAGTTAGATAGGAGCCACCTACAAAGCAGGGCTCAAATCCCTTTTTGGGGTCCGGCGTGACACCAGGAGATCACCTGCTACAAGAACCAGGCAAATCGGCTGCCAGGCCGTCTTTTCCACCCCCACAGGCGTCAGGCCAACCCAGGAAAGCAGGCCTGGGGCGCACAGGAGAGGACAGGTCCCCATTCCAACCAGGCGCCCAGATCCTCAAGACCACGGCAGCCCAGAGTTTGGGGGACAAGCCCTGCAGGCTAAGGGTTCATGTCTAGAGGTTCAAGTTCTTTCTTCAGTGCCGACATGACAAACGGCTTCTCGCTGAATCTCAGACTTCGCTGCTACAGCTCTACCTCAAACCAAAATATACTACATACTGTTGAGAAATTCACAGGAAGAATTCTGCTCACCGGGAGGACCATCAAGGCTCACCTGTCATCCAAGACAGATTGGGGGGGTTGGGGGGGGAAGGACCACAGAAAAGAGGGAAAAGACAATGGATAACTGGAGCAGCTCACAACCAGTAACTGTGAGAACACCCGTCTCCAGAGCCGTAGCACACTCTAACGAGAACAGCTTCCAAAATCATCGCAAACACATTTTCTAGTTCTTTACCAGCAAGGGAAAAAAATACACAACAACCCGAAGCACCCAAACAAAAGGAACTTGTCGGTAAACAGACTGTTTCCAGGCTGATGAGCCTAATTGTTCCCGTTATTTTTAGACTAGAGTTTAGTTTTCCCTTCGCAGCTGTCTCAGGGTCTAGGCCCCAGGCCTGCCTGCTGATGGAAGCCATGAGGACCAAGTCCCACAGAGCGTGTTTAGAACAATCTCCTTCAGGGGGCAGGGCGCCTGGGGGGCTCAGTCGGTTAAGCGTCCGACTCCGGCTCAGGTCATGATCTCACAGTTTGGGAGTTCGAGCCCCTCGTCAGGCTCTGTGCTGACAGCTCAGAGCCTGGAGGCTGCTTCGGATTCTGTGTCTTCCTCTCTCTCTGCCCCTCCCCTGCTCACGCTCTGGCTCTCTCTCTCTCAAAAATAAACAAACATTTTAAAATTAATAAAAATTTAAAAATTAATAAACATTTTAAAAATGTTTAATTAAAAAAAGAGAACAATCTCCCTCAGGTGCAGTCTATAGTAATTAAAGAGTAGAAGAAAGTCTAACAAGCAGCACTCTCATGATGTTCTTCCGGTGACCACAGGGGAAGACAGTACAAGCGACATGATCAGTGTGACTGGCTGAACATTCAGACCACCAGTCCTTAACCTTCTGGGGGCCACGAACGGGTCCACATCTGACGCAAGCTAGGAAGTCTTCCCCAGGGGAAAAAAACCTTGCACATACCCCAACACTGTGCATATGATTTCAAGGAGTTCGCAAAAGCTGCTTCTTACACCAGGTCTCCAAGTTAAATACACCGGACTTAGACCTTCTTAAAAAAAAGTCATGACCCGGGCGCCTGGGGGGCTCAGTCGGCTAAGCGGCCAACTTCAGTTCAGTTCATGATGTCACAGTTCGTGGGTTCAAGCCTCGCGTCTGGCTCTGTGTCTCCCTCTCTCTCTGCCCCTCTCCTGCTCACACTCTGTGTCTCTCTCTCTCTTTCAAAAATAAACAAACATTAAAAAAAATTTTTTCTTCTCAAAGTCATTACCCAAGCACCATGATTAGTCCTCAGAGACTCAGAGGACTACGAAATAGCTCATAGAGAAATTCCAACTCTGGAGCCCCACGCTGAATCAAGAACAAAACAAGAAAAGAAAAACTTACCCTCACCTTCTGCATTTATGGAATGTAAGAAAACTCGGCTTTTTCTCTATTAACTCCATTTCTGACACGGCCCCCTTACCTTGTTTGACCATTTATATGCTTGAAGGAGTTGGCTATACAGAGGGGTTTTGTCCTGCACGGGGTCCAGACTTAACAGCCCGCTGTTATGGAGAGGATGGTTCTCAGATGGCTTGCCCACCAAGTTGCTCAGACGTTCCAGCTCACTGAAAAACAAAGAGATAAAGTAAATAAACCTGAATTTACTGAAGCTCCAGTGGTTAGCCAACCACACTGGTCAAAGGCTGTTCTTCAAAGGGTCCATCGGAAGTCTCGTAAGAAGAACTACTTTGAAAAGTTAAGATCAGGGACAATCAAGAAAACCCCTAACTGAGAGCTTAGCATATATTAAAACCGAGCTCTCTGGTGCCATTCTAAAGGAGGGAAAAAGTTAAGAGCACTAGAACCAAGAAGACTCCTAAAATCGGGATTTAACAACTCAGATTATTCTTGGGTGGGGGCGGGGGGAGGCGACTTTCAGGAATTTTGAAATGTAGGGTAACACTGTGAGTTTTAAGACCCACACACAGATCATTACATTTGACAGATCGGCAAGTACCTGAATAAATGATAATTATTTATCGTTCACACAGAAAGAGACTAGTACGTGGTACTTCACAGATGGTAAAACTTAGCAAAACAAAAAAGAGATAAAACAAACAAATGGAATGGGAAGACACCACCGAGGGGCTGTGTCAAAGCCGCACACTGCAGTCTAGCAGAACTCCAGAGAAGCCTGGGAAAGTGAGCCAACACCGAAAGCACATTCCAGAAGCACGTTCTGAGGCCAGTCTCAAACTGTCAACAAAAGACTCTCCAGGAACAGCTTCTCACGCCATACTCATTTTGGAACGTTCAGCCACCTTCTTGGCACTACCGAATAAGGATTTAAAAAGGCGACGGAACATAAATACTCTCGAACCTTCTAGAATGGGTGAAGGGTTCAAAGCTCCTGAATGTTCTACCAAAGGAAGCAAATCAGGGAGGAAACGCAGGAGAGAACAGCCAGTGCACCCCCTCGAGCAGGGGAAGTATTAACTGGCGCCGCGCCAGAGAACAGCAAGTGGATGTGGGAGTTGAGGAGGGGTGTGTGATTTCCTGGCTTCCCACCAAAAAAAGAATGGCAACTACTTAGGGGAAGAAAATCAAAAGAGGCACCCATCGTTTGGTCACCACCTCCTCCTCCATTCTTCCCCCTCCTTCCATCTGGTTACTAAGGAGACCAACTTGGGGGTGAAAAAAAAAGTCCACCATTCCAGAAATTGTAGGGTGACTATCTCACCCAATGCCTTTCCCCACCAAGGTCAGTTCTGAGAGGCAAAAGGCAGAAGTCCTGTGGGTCTAACCTCCCTGAGAGGGGTCACTCTCTTAAGGAAGGGAAGAGAAGTTCAGGACCGAACCAATTAAAGAGTTCCTACTGTGGGCTGGGCTGCTGACAATCACCCTTTCACTCAATCCTTACACGACACTTAGAAAGTAGAAAAGAGTGACTTGTAAGAGAGAGACAGAAATGTACACTCCTTAGCCCTTTAATTAATACTGGGGGCGGGGGGTTAAACAGAAGTCATTAAGCTGGTTTAGGCTGAGATTCGGTCTCTCTGGAGACGAAGAAGCTGACCAGGAGCAGAGTGGGCGTGAAGCCCTGATCAGACGGTTCCGGAGCGGGTGGGGGAGAGGGAAAGACGCAGGCCAAGGCCTGTTCCATCGTGTCTGGAGGTGGACTCGTGTGGAACTGACGGATTCCAGGTTCGGGGGCGAGGTGCTAATCAGATCGAGTGCACTTGGGTCCGGGGCAGCGCTGAGCTGGTCCTGTTCGGCAGTACTCGATCAGACACGGTGGGGCACAGAGGGCCCACAGGTGAGAAACCTGCGAGGCGGAGATGAGAAGCGGAAGTTCGTGGGAAGAGCCCGTCTGCTCGTCAGGAGCCGAACGACCACACGGGAGGTCCCGGGCGGCGGGAGGCAGCCGAGATTAGGGGGCCAAGAGAAGGGAGACGAGAAAGCGGGGGTGGGGGGACGAGGTGTCCCTGAGGAACAGGCATGGGCTTGGGGGGGACGGAAAGACAGCAAGGGAGCAAGAGACTGCGAGCAGCCCCTGGCTAGGAAGACTCGCGCGGGGTCGGGACAGGGTGGGCGCCGGGTGGGTCCCCGACGCTGGCCCCTCCCGCCGGTACCTACTTGAGGTCCCGGTTGACCGAATGCAAGTTGTCCTGGAAGTGCGCAATGAAGGCCTTCTCCCGGCCCTCCAGCGTCTCCTTGTTCCGCATGCCATCCTTCAGGCAGTCGAACACCCTGCTCACGCTGGAACGCAACGCCTGGATGGCACTGATGGCCTGAGCAAAGGCCTCCAGGTTCACTCCGACACTTAGCACGTCCGCCATGTTGCCGCCGCCACCGCTCTCCAAAGCCGGCTTCGTGAGCGAAAGGCCGCGCTCACTGATGACGCAGGCGCTCGAAGGCCTCTGGGAAATGTAGTTCTCGCGGGGGCGGGGCCGCCCAGGTGGTCAGTGCAGACACACGTTGTCGTCCGAAAGAGGGCTTTCCCTTCATTTCCAGTGAGTGAATGAATGAGTGGGCAGGAAAAGTGATCGCCTAGATGTGTGGAAGCCAGGCTGCACTCTCGGCTTTCTTAATGGTAACGAGTAAATACAGAAAGTTCCCACATTTACCCAATCTTACACCCGTGGGAATCACAGGGAAAAGAATTGCTCAGAGCAATAAAATGTCCACAAGAGTGAAGGATTATGACCCTTTGGGTACTTGAAAAAGACAAATATTGTATGCTTCCACTGATGAGATACCTCGAATAGGCAAATTCATAGAGATGGGGAGTAGAATGGTGGTTGACAGGGTCTGGGGGAAGGGGAGAATGAGGAGTCAGTCTTCAATCAACAGAGAGTTGCAGTTCAGGAAGATGAAAATGGTGCCATGGACAGTAGTGATGATTGCACAACAGTGTGAGTGCACTTAATGTTGCAGAACTGGACACTTAAAATGGTTAAGTGTAAATTTTATGTTGTGCATATTTTACCATAATTCATGTTTTTTATTTATTTTATTTTTTTATGTTTATTTTATTTTTGAGAGAGAAAGGGAAGAGGGGCAGAGAGAGAGGGAGACACAGGATCCACAGCAGACTCTGGGCTCTAAACTGTCAGCACAGAGCCCAACTTGGTGCTCAGACTCATGGACTGCGAGATCATGACCTGAGCTAAAGCAGGCGCTCAACCAACTGAGCCACCCAGACACCCCTAATTCTTGTTTTTTTAATTCTGTAATGCAAAAGAGGAGGGTAATATTGACTTCACAGTGGAGCAGACTGGCGGATACCACCCTAACAAGAGACCAAGGTTGGCATCCCCGAACCTCCTCCTGACACAGTGCCCAGAGAAAACTGCAACACGACTTCTGGGATATTCCTGCCAAAAATGCAACACCAGAATCTGATCAGGACATCATACACACTCAAAGACATTTGACAAAACCACTGGCCTATGCTTTTCTACAAAACATCCGTGTTATGGAAGACAAAGAAGCATGTGCCCTGGGATTCTCTTTTGCCGACATGATGGAGACAATTGGTGAAATCTGAGTAATGTCTGTAGATTAGTTCATAGTATTTTATCGGTGATGATTTCATGATTTTGATCACTGAACTGTGGTTATGAGAGAGGACAGCCATGATTCAGGGGAATATACCTTGAGGGGATAAAGGAGCATCATTGTGTCTCTATAAAAAAGAAAATAGGACAAAAAATGTTTCTTTAGAGAAGGATAGAGCAAATGTAATATTAGCAGTTATGGAATCTGGGTGAAGGGCATAGAAGAATTGTGTGTACTGTTCTTGCCATTGTTAAGTCTGAAATTACATCAAACTAAGTTGTTTTAAATGACCATCAGCAAAGGGCATGGAAAGCATAGACACAGTCTAGATGGTAAGAAGAATCTTCAGTTCTGCCAGGCTGGGCTGACCAGCATTGTGAAATTGTGGAGCTCACCTCAACCCCACTTCCCGAATAGTTCGCTCTTTCTTCTCCAAGCTCGCTCCCCCCAACCCCACTCCCCACCCAGCCCCACCCCACCACCTCAATTCAAATCCTTCAGTTGTGGAACAGTGAAGATAAACTCTCCTCAGAAACTGGGCTCTGATGTGGCTCCCCAGGAGTGTTTAGACATTTACACAAGTGAGGAAGAAAGGGTTTCATTTTCCTGGGTTTACATAATTGCTTTCATTTCCTGGCATCTACGCCACCTTCATAGCATTGCTATTGGTGGCTTTTCCTAAGGGAAGGGGTAAGAGATAGGGGAAACGTGCAGCTGTGAAACCCTGAACAAGTTCCTGAACTCTCAGATCCTCAGTTTTCTCATCTGTAAAATAGAGCTAGTAATAACATCTGACTTTATAAAATAGCTGTGAGGTTTAATAACACCTTAAAGACAAAACTTTTGAAATCATGCTTGGCAAATAATAAGTACTCAGAAGATTGTAGCTGTCAGGAGGATGCTGGGAAAGTTTGCCATGGGTCTGTGACCTGTGCCTCTATCCTCACTTAAGGACTCTGCACAGAATCAAAAGCAAGGGTGAACAATGGGTCAATTGGGTCAAATTACCTCTAGTGACATGACCCTGTTGCTAAGAGCTTGTCAATTAACTGTATCCTATAAATCCACTATTTCTTGGTGGCATTTTTATCTCCTTTGAGTATAGGGTTTGGAAGTATACGATTTGGGCTTGGTTTTTAAGATTTTTGTAGCAAATACTTTTTAACTTCATAAAAATGAAAGAAAATGTCTATATTTGTTGGCCTGTTTTGGTTTTGACTTCAGTGTGTTCATCCCATCTAGGGAAAGATTAGAGAAGGCGAATTCCAGTATCATGGTTACTCACCTTATTGGGTCCCCTGAAGGGACCCTGGCTGTATACTCTGTTCCCAGGAGGAAAAAATGTACCAGCCTCTTTCTTTTTTCTTTTTTTTTTTTAATTTTTAATGTTTATTTTTGAGAGAGGGAGAGAGGGAGAGACAGAGAGTGAGTGGGGGAGGGGCAGAGACGGAGACTTTCCAAGGTAGGCTCCAGCTCTAAGCTATCAGCACAGAGCCTGACATGGGGCTCAAACCCACAAACCATGACCTGAGCCCGAAGTCAGACGCTTAACTGACTACCCCACCCAGATGCCTTGGTACCAGTCTATTTCTGCCCATACTCATATGTACCTACAAACTGGAGATTTTGCATACAGTTTTAGGGGGTTCATAGCCCCCCTAAAGCCCAAACATGGACCTCTGGGTAAAATCATGCTCTAAGGCAAGCACTATGGGGGTATGACCCAGGGCTATCGCATAACCACCAGACCTCCAATGCCTGGGGCACAAAAGAGGCTCAGTGTAAGTTTGTGGAAGCAATGAGTTAACACAATATATTATGTTTGCCTTCTTGGATCCTCCCTCCAAATTACTTCATTTCTTTGTATACTCAGATATCATCTCTCCCTCCTTCTCAGCCCACCTCTCCCACCCACCCTCTCCCTCCCTACTCCCCACACAGTAAGATTGTCCTTTGTCTTATTCTCTGATTCAGTGGTTAAGATACTGATTGGTGCAATAAAGTACAAATATGCTCCGCTCCCACAGTCATTAGTTTTCAAGATTTCTCTCTGGCCCCCCTCTTCTGGGAAACTCAGAAATTGATCAGTGGAAATACACATTTCCCCTGAACCTAGTAAGGAGACTTTCATCACAGCAACAAAAAACTTTTCATTTTGGAAGGAAATGGACAGAGTTTCTCTAAGGTGCTATCAATTCTTGAGAATGTTGGCACATATATGGTTGCATCTGTGTGTGTTTGTGGGATATAAATTAGTTTAAAAGGAGTTCATTTCAAGCAATATCAGATTTTAATTATTGTGATCTTATGTTTGGGTAAAAGGCAGCACCCTGCTGCTAATATCTTCCAAAATGAACAAGCCATTAGCTTGGTGCTATCAGCTCAAGAGTATTAGAATGAGCAATCAGAATTAAAGTTGTCAGTATTTAATTAAAATACGCTGCAATTCCTATCATATTCAGAGAGCATGGGGTTTAAGCATTCAGACTGAGAAAGCACCCTCATCAATTAATAATTATTAAGGATTTGCTAGATGCAGAACACGGCATTGGACGGTTGGGCAGAATGTCACCAGATAGATTTAAACCCAAATCTGCCTTGGATAAGCCACAACGTAACTCAGCCACCTGCTGTAATCAGTGTGGCATAGTGCTTAAGACCTTGGGGGTTGCTCTGAGGATTAAATTGAGGCGGCATACAGTTCTGGGAACATGGTAGGCATTTGAGTCAGTCATTCAACAAATATAGATATTTGATGTCTCGACATTTTGTTAAACAGCTGGGGAGCCAGTAGTAAAACCAAGCCCAGCCAAGCCCAATAAATGTCCCCGAAAATATCTGAAGTGGATTATGTGTTCCTCCACATTCACCTCTTTAAGGCTCAGGGCATCGATCATCTTTAAACTGCCTAGAATCAGGTTTATTAAAATTAATCTAAAGCAGGTATGTTAAGAATCTTCTCAGTCTCTTCTGACCCTAGCCCCACTCCAGGTTTCCTCTTAATGTTGCCTGCTCTGATTTTGACATGATGATGATGAGCAAATGGTCTCCAAAGACAAAGAGTGCTGGAGAGAGGAAATCAGCCTGGACTGGTATCTCTCAGGCAAGGGAGTTAACCCTTCGGACCTCAGATCTTGCATCTAGAGGAAAAGGAAGTGGGATCACCTCCAGAACTAACAATCCAGGAGCATAAAAGTAGGAGGGACATGTTAGTAATTCAGGAAGGAGGAAAAGGGGAGGACCATTCCTTGTTAATGCTGATCACAACCACCGCACCAGGATTCCTGCACTCTGACTCATTCAGTTATTTACCCAGCGACACTCACCGAATAAAGGGATTAAATAAGGATCCAAATGGAACCTGTTTCTGCTCTCATGGCGTTCGCTCACAGCCTCACAAGGGAGACGGATACAAATGGGACATGAAACACAGTGAGGTTCAACTGCGGGATAAGAGACCTGCACAGAGAATTTTGAAGTTCTTAGAGAAGGCGGTCACAGCATCTTTCTGCCCAGGGGAGGCCTGGGCCAAGCCTTCCAAGGAGCATTGGGGCTAACCAGGTGTGGTGGGGGATAGAGGTAGGGGAGTACAGTTTGAAGTGAGGTTGTGCTGGGGTTAGATCTGTGTTTGTAGAAGGCCACCCTCTGGCTATGGAGGAGGTAGGCAGAAGTGTCCAAGCTTAGAGGCAGAGACACCAGAAAGGGAGGGGTACCACACCCGTTCTGTTGGCAGAACAGCCCACAATGGACCACACGTGAGCCATATTCTTCCCATCACAGGAAGCCAGGAGGTATTT